GGAAGGACTAACTTGTCTGCGGTTCAGATGGAAGACTTCAAGCTTATTTTGGGATTGGAATTTCTTCGGGATACTAAAACAGCGGTGTTGCCGTACCTCAATTCACTAATGATGATGGGTAGCAAACCGTGTGTCATCCCCACTCAAACTGGGAAGAGAGGCGAGAAGAGTATCTCGGCCATGCAATTTTGCAAGGGTTCCGAAAGGAATGAACCCTCACTTTTGTGCACTCTTAGATCAGAGGAGATCGAAGAGGCGACTGGTCCTATTCCAAAGCATGTCAGAAAGAGTGTTGAGGAATTTGAGGACATCATACCGGGTGAGTTGCCAAGGAGGGCGATTGATCGCGGGATTGAACTTGATTCAGGTACCAAGCCTCCCAGCGAGGCACCATACCGTACAACTCAGTCGAAGCTTGAAGAGCTTCATGCAGGTCATCAGAAAAAGGCAGGCTTACTGGAGCCCCTTTCCATCCCGAGTAGACCAGTCAAGAGTGGAACGATGGACTACATTGGGGATTTGCCGAAATTCGGAGATTTTGGCATTATCACGGTCAAGAGGGACCGTTTATCTGAAGATGGAACTGTTACCACAGCGCCCAAGTATGTATCAGCCGAAGAGACAGCTCAACTCTTCTTCAAACATATTGTCAAATACTGGGGACTGCTTAACAACATTGTCAGTGATCGGGATTCTCGAGTTACTGGCATACTTTGGACCAAGTTGTTCAAACTTCTTGGCCCAACTTTGAGCATGAATTCTAGTTTTCACCCACAGTCAGACGGACAGATAGAGCGCTTCAAATATATGCTGGAAGACTATTTTCGGCACTTCATCTCTGCTCCGCATGAAGTTTGGGTAAAACTTTCGGATGTGGCCCGGATGTGTTTCAATGCTCAAGAGACCTCTTCGCCCAACAAGAGTCCTTTTGAGATTACTACTGGCCAGCAACCGTCCCTCCCTCACATTGCAGTCATCAAACAGAAACAGTACAAGAAGTCTGAAGATCTGAAGCGACTTGTGTTTAACTTGAAAAGATCAGAAATGAAGGTTGCTGAAGAGATTCTTGGCCATCGAGCTTCTAGGAATTATCTTCAAGAATACTTGGTCAAATGGAGCGGATTCAACAACGAGAAGAACAACCAACGGCTCAGAGGACTTCGCCAAAGCAAATGGGGGAGAATGTCACGGGCAGCAGCCTTACTTAAGCCCCGTGACGCTATTGCAGTGGCTGCACCTTGTAAATATTTCATTTAATTGTAAAATAGTTGATAATTAGAAAATTTTAGTATGATTCCTCGGCCAAAAGACGTCTACTCCCGTCATTTGGGTTTTTGTTGCTAAGTCTATTATAGGGGGTATATGACTTTCAAACATCTTTCAAGCTTTTCTAGTGTTCGCCCCCTGCACTAGCCATTGTAATTTCCTGCTTTCAATCAATTGTAATTTCAAGCTTTCTAGCAATCAATGATCAAGTTTATTTCAATGCATTTCAATTTCGTGTTGTAAGCTTTCTTTAAATTGTGATCAAATCTACTTTTGTCCCGAGACGGACCGAGAAAAGGCGGAAGGTAGTCTAGCGGAGCAGACTACTGCCGCACGGTGTCCCTTTCTGTGCTAAGAAGAAAGGTAACCCGTGAAACCAAGGCTTATCAAGGATGTATTAAATGTGTTGCATTTCAAAAAATAAATTAATTAATTAAATATAATCATAAAGGACAATGCGTGGCACATTCTAAGGAGTATCAATGTTCGATTCATGTCGAACAACGACACTCCACCCTAGGAGTGTCCATGCTTCACAGATCAAAGAAAATGTGTACCAATGGTTTATTCACTGGTGTTGAAACTGCATCTCTCTTCTCTGATGGCAAGTCAATAGGCCTGCAATGAAAAGAGATAACTGATGTTAGTATCTCCACCAAAATAACTCTTTAATTTTTAGAATATCTAGTGCTGCAATTTTGTGAGGATTGATCTAAGAAGAGAGGCCCCTTCTTTTTCACATGTGTGCACATGCAAGTTTTGATGCTGAATATCAAATCCTGCAACCAAGAATTTCCCCTTACAGGAAAGGAAAAATTCATGCTAGATTCATTTACATCCATGGCCAAGAGATTCAACAATGAAAAGAACTTACTGAACACACTATAAGGGTTTACAACAGGCGACCACTTCGTATTTCCTTTTCCAAGATGACACATTAAAATAAAGAATATACACATTTTAATTAATCACTTAGCTTCCTTTCGACAAAATTTATGAATCATTTATAAATGATAAAACCTCATTTTCAGCCACTAGACTTATCCACCACCCATTTATATCTATTATAAATTTAACTGTTTATGAAACGGAGTGTTAATAATTCAGATAATTACCACCATTGAAGTCCATTGCTTTCCGTTTCCGTTTACAAGTTGCACTAGACAACCTTAAAATCCCTTCATATTTACGAAATTTCCCAGATAAAACTATCAATCTCTTCTGAATATCTTCCATATAAATCAAGATTTCAACGTAACTAGTTGGGGAATTGATAGCTGAGAGAATTTGCACCATAAAATTTTCCCCTCTTTAAATCCATATAACAGAATACTGTATAATCAGGACTTCTTTTTCCCTTTTTAGTTTTTAATACTAAAATCAATACAGAGCGTTTTAATTTAACAATAAAAGCCAAGCTGATTGCTGCAGCTTCCATAGATTTGTACAACACTATCTCTAGCAAGCATATATGAAAAGCAATCAGAATTGCGGTATAATCGAGTGCAAATAAAATTCAAATATTTATCAATTCAAGGGTGAAAATGGAGAGCGGAATTGGGGAAACGATTACCTGTGCGAGGATGGATCATCGAGTTTCTTCCTCTTTGGTGGAGGTCTGAATTTCTTCATTGATGATTTCCCGATTGATTTACAATCAGATGCCTAGGGGCTAGGATCGATTAGACAAGTAAAACAACCATTGATTTAAGTTTTAAATTTTTAGGTTCAGGGTTTAATTTATAATTATTTTAAGAATTGCAAAAAAGACGAGTCTTTAAATTTTCTTTATTTAATATTTGAATATGGAAATCAAAATCAGATTTTTAGAAAATTTTGATGAATGTTGATTAGATAGACGTATGATTGAAAAGAGTTGTGAAACACATGAAATATGTCATTAAAATTAATTGTTAACTTTGACTTCAATTTTGATTTTGATTTCTACCAAACGGGAATTTATTTGACGATGTCAAAACAAATGAACTTTTTCATGTCTTGTGATTAGGGGTTGTCAAAAGTTATCACAACCATTTGATCTAATTAGAATTGGATCGGAATTTATCAATTAGGTCTAATTCTATTTAAGTTCTAATCAGTTTTGAATATTAAAATCGAGAATCGGTCAGTTTCGATCTGATTTTCGATTTTAATAACAAGAACCAAAAAGTTTGATTCAACCTAGTACCTACCATCCATTTTTGTTTTTTCTTATGAATTTCATTATACCACGTCAAATTCATATTCAATATAATCGAGTGTTAATTATAAACGCTTTATAGTTTATTTAAATGGACTCTCTTGCAATTTTTTGAAAATCAAAAGTGAGATTATGGTTGCAATTAATTCTCTATTTTTCTTTTTCCTTCTTTTCTTTTTGTTTTATTTCAAGATAGGGGTAAATTCATCATTTCACAAGATTTTATAAAGAAAATTGAAGAAAATATTGTATTGTGCAAAATTTGGACCATCTAGGAGTGTTTTAAGTCGATGGGAGATTAGAGGATATTCCATAAACATAAAGGGGTAATGTACCAATTACCTGTAGATTAAAAATTACCTTTAGATTAAAAAGAGGCTTGAGTTCCTTTAGCTAATATTTTCAATCATTCAAACTATAAAGAAAATAGATGTGATATTATAACACGTTTTTAAAGAACTTATTCAAGTCAATAGTTAAGAATTTGATGTATTATATCGCGTTTAGTTAATTTTGGAGCGCAAATCATTTTAATGAATAGATTATGAATAATTCAGCTATTAAACTATTGAAACTTAAGAACTTATGAATTAGACATTTCATTTGCATCGATTAGTGAATTTGAGAACTTACCACAAGGAACCGAATTGGACCGCAATAGCGGTGAATACTAAGATATGGTGTGGAAGATTATTGATGGAATTTTGTCAATCTGACTATTGGGACTCATTTGCATCTTATTTAGTTCCTTATTTTTTCGTCTTTTCCTTTTGTTTTATTTAAATAGAAGTGTATATTTGTCATTTTACGGGACTATATTGAGAAAATTGGATCTTCAACATCTCAAGTGTCATAAAAGAGAGTTTTCAGCCAATTTGAAAGAACATGGAGAATTCCGCAGTACATCCAAAGGATTGGGGCTTTTAATGCCAATAAGCCTTTTTTTATTTTTATTTTATTTTACAAACAATTTAACGATGTAAATATTCATTTTTTAATTTTGATTTAATTTTAAAACATACTAAAGTTCCAGAAAAAAATAAAAATAAATAAACATGATGGTCCAACCATTTGTGGGTTCATTGGTTGTTCTGGTCTTAGATTTGGATCTGGGTATGGATCATATTTTAGACAGACCAGTTCATGTCCATAATGGATCTGATTCTGAATCTAGGTTCCTATCCCTAATCCCTCTCCAGAACAAGTCAAAGGTCTCATTGTTCTTTTTTCTTTCTTTCCTTTTCTTTTCAAGGATACACGAATAGCACGTTCTCCCGATCGGAGTAATAAGTTAATTCGTTCCACTAGAGTTATACTTGAGAGTTTCTGAACTTATACAGTTCATCAATCATTTGGTGTTCCTCTGGTTAACTCACTCATTTAGACACGTCTAACTCAAGATTAAAATTATACCTGCTCAAAACTTGTAATAAAAAAAAAATTATAGATACAAGGTCTTTATTTCTTTTTCCTATCTTAATTTTTGTATTATGGATCATTCAACAAACTATAAAGAAAATAGATTTTACAAAGATCATAATTTGATCCATTCAGAGCCATCAATAAAGCTAAGTGAAATAAAAGGCTTAGCTTCTTCATATGTAAGTTCTCTTGACCATGACACTCTTCCTGCAAAACTAGCCCCAGGTCCAGTGCATTTGTACTGCCCATAAAACACAGTCCTGCATGCCACCAAAATAAAGACAAATTAACAACATTAACATTAAAAAATATGACAAATATTAAGGCCAAATTAGTTAGGTATATATATACATTCTTTAATATAGTTTAAGAATGGTGCATTACAGGTAGATTAAGGATCCATTTGGTATAGTTTTGCTTTTGCTTCTGCTTCCTTTGAAAGAGCTTTTGGAGGAAATTGCTTTAATTTTTGTTAAAACTAATTTTTAAAATAGTTTCATATTTCGAAAGTGTTTTTAGAGGAAGTCACATTAGACCAATTTACTCTAAAAGCTCTTCTACAAAAAGAAGCCCTTTAGTAAATCTAGTCAAAGATGTCCAAAAGCAATTTTTGAATTTCAAAAGCCTTCTTTTTTTTTTATACTTTTCATAAGTCATACCAAACGAGTCATAATTATATGAGACAAAAACTATGAACATGTTTAGACTCTCACAAATAATATTAGCTCCCGTTTGGACTTCAATATCCCAAAAATTTATTATTTTCTCTCTTATTTTTAACCACACAATCTTCAATAAAATAATATTACACATAAATCGAAAAATATTCCTTACTTTTTAATTACAAATTCTAAAAAAATATATTATAATTTCAAATAATGGGCCAAACGGGTTCAAGATTCTGCGAGTGGATAATGGTGAAAGAGCAGGTAGTGAGTGCTATTAGCCATCAGGAAAAAGATGGCATGTTAGGTACAGACACCATCTGTATGTGGAGGATGCAGAGTGGAAAGGGGTGGCACCGCCCCATGCCCAAAATCAAAGATAAGTTACAATAATAAAGGAATGACAAATCTTTCATTATAATTGTACTATCATTAATCCCTACAATTATACTGTCCAAATCTCCATTAAATAGTCGTGTATATTCAACTTTATGAAGCTAGATTTTATTTCCCAACTTTCACTTATTTTTAAGCGCGTGACAACTTAACGCACATTTAGATAGCTTTTGCCGTTCGGAATTGATTCACATCTAAAATTTGACAATCGCATTACTGCTAGAAAATAAGTTGAGGACTAATGTTACCATTTTCCTTTAAAAAAATTAATGCGCTTCCAAGCCTTTACCACTGGTGTTTAGCACTCGTATTGATAACATCATCTATGTCATTAAATTATATATTTAATTAAATATAAGAATTTATGATTCAATAAATAGGACCTATGATATTTTGACACATAGACTTGTGTTCAAAACAATTGATGATAGATAACATGATTCTTTTTTTAAACTAATAATGTTATCGAACCCCAGTCCGCGTGTCACTAGGGTCGATTAAGATTTTAACTTCTTTAATTTTATCTGTTGAATACATAAAACTCACAACATTACTCATTTTTAATAGTTCAACATGAAAGGTTGAAAAGAGCTAAGAGATGTTGCCCCACAACTAAATTTTGTCGCCTCACTACGACTTTAAAATGTCAAAATTTTGGTGAAATATAATTTTATTTATGCCATACGGAAAAAAGACCTCTAGGTTGATATTGTTTGTAAGGTCCTCGTTATTTATTTTGATAGCTAGGCATGGTGAATAACCTATAAATCCTATGTAATAGCCTCCACAAATATTATATCTACATTTAGGTAGCAATTTTTATTTTTATTTTATTTGGGATCTTGAATGTGTGAACTAAGATGAGACCACATGATCATTTATGTAAATGTGTGGGTGGGGTGGGGTGGGGTGGGGGAGAAAATGAGAAAAAGAAAGAACTTACATTTCTCTAGAGGGATCACCCCAGTTATACCAACCCTTTGGAATTATGATGTTGTCCATGTAAGTATAAGCAAATACCACTCTTGAAAAAGGGCCCCATGCCCTTCCAAGGTATAAAGCCCCTGAACCCGTGACCTTACAGTTCACAAATGAGAACCCAGTGTCATCTAATATACTGCTTCGTCCTTGTGCTGTCACTGCCCCTATTACTGGTGCTATTGCATGCACCTGACAATTCTGCATAAACATGGGAGTTATGTTGGTCTGGACAAGACTCGACGAGATTAAGAAAGAGACATGTGACATATTCTGTAAGTTTTAATGTCGAGTATTATGTAATTCAGCTTACAAACGCTGAGACGATAGAAAACGTTACAGACCAAGTTTCTTGAACAATCTTTTATAGATTGTCTTTTAGTACTGTACATGGTTGTATCACATGGGATTTGTCTTGATGGTTTTAAACTCATAATGTTCAGAAATAGACAGAAAACGACAGATAGACAATGTCTTTTTATGTACATGTCTATCGGAATCTGTAACTCGATTTTCACATCCATAGAGGTATCGGAGAACCAGCAAATGTAACAATCTGTTTATCTCATACTAAGTAAATAAGTTGTATTTTATGACATTTTGATGCTTAAGTTGTACTTATTGAAGCCAGAGCACATTATTTACATTTTTGGAAGAAAAGTTACAAAATTACCTCAAACAAGGAGAGGCCATTGCCAAAGATGAAGTCCACAGAGCCCTCAATATAGCAATCTTTGTAATAATGCCTACCCAAATGATCATAAAGAGTGTCCTGTGCACCCAAGAACTTACAACTTACAAATGCTGCTGTGTCTGCTGATATTCTAAATGCCACTGCTTGCTTTCCAATAGCTCCTGCTGCTGGCACTGGCGTTGTATTCTACACGTATCAGACATTTGATAAAAATAAAATAAACCCGGCTTGGGATTAAGCATAAAAAGATAAATGTATCCCATCTAATCGTTTAAACTTTTAGATGAGATGGTTTGTCTCACCATGAAAGTAATATTCTTGGCTATGAAGTAGGGAGAATTGACAGCAAAAGTTGCAGAACCATATGTGCCAAGAGGGTGACCATTTGGCCCTGGTGTTTGAGCTGTATCACCCCATTGAACAATTGTTTTGTCTGCTCCTGCACCTTCAATTGTTATAAATGATTTGAATGGTGGTATATTTACCTTCTCCCTGAAATTTTTTGCATTTTGAACATAAGTTTTCTACCAAAATATAAATAATAACAAGAATTATAAAAGAAAATGCATAATAAATGGACAAAAGAAAGGACAAAGAACTCTAATCTCATAACATGTTGATGAGAAACAAAGAAACAAACAGTGACTATTTCACGGCGTTCTGAACTCAGCTTGATGTTAGGTTGATATAAGTTATCATCATCGCTTTGTCCAAACGAGCCGGGAATCCACCCCAAGCTAACTCCCTTTGGACCCACCCTGATTTCAAATATCCTACAATATCCACCCACTCCACAAGAATATGTTAGCATTGACTCGAATACGGGACCTTCAGGCTAATGTAAGGTATTGCCACCACTTTTAGTCCTAATTCTATAGCTAATGACACTAACATAATTCACCTTATATCACCAAGAATCAAGCTTGGGAATCCACCCAAGTCCACTTCTTTGAGCTCATCCCATTTCAAGCATGCTTTTGCATTGAACAGTTTGTGTAGGACAAAAAAATAAAAAAAATAATAAAAAAAAACGCACAGACGCACACAAAGCCTTACGTGTAAACTCCTGCATGAACCTTGATCAAAACTCTCACAAGATTGACCGTTGGAAGAGAATCAATGGCATCCTGAATTGATGTAAAATCTCCAAGTGCTGGATTTTTATCAACAGTAAGTGAGTAAGAAGGGAAGATTTTATTTTTGGCAGTCTTGAAAAGGGTATGCTTTAAGCTACCAACAAAATTAACCCACTTCATGAATTGTTGTTCTGAGTACTCAACTTGTGTCATATTCACTGATAATTGCTTCCCAGAATTTCTCTTGGGTTTCATACCTTTAGTGTGGCACAATACAGTGCTTGCATTCAGAAGAAGCAAAAGAATGGCAAAATGAAAAATGGGTTTAGAAGAGGGCATATTTGAAAGAGAAATGAGAATAATGGGACTGAAAATGAAGAAAAAGTTAAAAGAAAAATTGTTCTGGAGCTGGCAAGTGCATTAGAAACTTGATGATTTCATAGCTTATATATGAATGAGTTGAAGTTTATTTAAATTCTGTCTTTGGAGAATCATGACGTGGAAGTGAAAAGTCACGGGTGCTTTCAGTAGAGAGAGAGGGTGGAGTAGGGTGGCGTGGGTGTCACAGGCAAAGAATGTAGGCCACAAAAGAGGTTCCCCAAGGAATGCACTTTTTGGCTTAAAAAAACGTTTGTTGCTATAGTTTTCTACTTTTGTTGTTGTTGTTTGTGTCCGTGAGTGTTCTCTGTGTTTGTGTGCGAAGGTGCGATTATTCCCGTGTCAAACTTCAATTTGACATTAAAATTAGAAAAAAGAATATTGGAGTGGAACTAGTGGTATAGGTAAGCCTAAACATCCATTGGATCAATTCAGATATTTTAATATTTGGAATCACTCATTACATTTCAAGGTTTTTTATAAACAGAATCATTCGTTTCCACGTAAATATTGGTATCAAAAACAAATACTAACCGTCAATTTCAATTAGGGCTCGTTTGTACCGATAATATTTTTGCTAAAAAATATGACTTGATAATACAAATTATTTCCAAGTATTGGTAGAATAGAAGAAGCAAAATATACAGCTAGGGTTGGGCAAAATGTTCAAACCGAACTGAACCGAACCGAACGGATTTTCTTAACTTAAAAACCCGAAGAATCGAGAACCGAAGAACCGAAAAATTTTGGTTCGGTTCTCGATTCTAGACCTAGAACCGAAGAAACGAATTTTTTTTGATAAATCAATTTATTTTATTTTTTCTAAACAAATTAACAATTTTTTGTTTTAACTATTTGATATATATATTCCTTAACCTAAAACAGGTTTAATTTTGGGTTAGTTTGTAGTTTTGTTTTTATTTCCTATTGGACTTAGTTTAGATTGGGTTTGATTTCAATCTTGGCCTAGGCTTTAGTTGATATTTTAGCCATTCATGGTTGGGTTTAGGGTTTAGTTGCTAAGATCGAATTTCGTATTTGTATCTACTTCTTGTTATTAAGCCTCTGTTTGGCCAGCATTCTTGTGAAGAAAAAATGAAGAATTGGACCATTTTTTTCAAATTAGTGGGCCCCTCCCTCTCACAAGTTGGTCAAATATTTCGGCTGGCCCCATGTCTAACGGTAAGAAAATTTCTAGAAATGGGAAAAAAA